ATCTCTTGACAATAATTTATAAAAGACACCATGTTCCAACACATATGGATATTTATTCGGATTTTCCTGAACTTCGCTGATCTTTTTCTGAATTTCTGGATCTTTCTGCTGCGCCTCGATCAAATTTATTCTATCCAAAAAACTTGGTAATACTCTTTCTTTTGATGGTTCTGCTTCTGTAAGTGAAGTGTTATTTGCAGGCTTTTCTGCAGGTAGACTCCTCGTCGTCACCTCTGCTGTCTAAAATCCTTTATATTCTTACATCCTTCACATATTGCATTATTTTTTCTCCGACTCATGCAGGATGATTTACATGTGCCATATAACTTCGAATGATGAGATCTATCGTATAAGCCGAAGGTACCCTTGTGAATAAACTTTTGATGTCAAACGAAACCATTTTTAATTTTAGATATGACCTGGGAAAAGTTTTAACCAAATTCGTGAATTCAAATGAGTCCTTAATCCTACTAGGGCCATTCTTCAGACTGAAAATGGGCCATACATCGATCCGGTGGTAAGCGAACGGTTTCGAAACACAATATTTCGGCTCGACTTTCCATGCTGAATCTAATGAAAAAAAGCATTTTCAGTTTAGACCAACTGGAAAAGAAAAACTTGAAATTTTCCGAGAAAACGGCGATTTTTCCGGATTCGTCGGTTTTCCAGTATTTGAAGGTCTTCTACGAGACGAAAACGTTTCTTCTCAACAAATCTTACATATTCGAAATCAGCGTCCAAAACTGCGTCGAATGGTGTATAATTTGTCAAGAAAAACAAATTTTAACTCGATCTTTGAATTGGGGGCACCTTATTGTATGTAAGGTACAGCTAATGAAAAATTCGAGTGGATTTTATTTTTCAGTTTGTTATACATATTCTGATTCGTCTTGTTGAGCTGATCACGAATATCACCTTTAAAACCGTGAAAAGTCCTTTTTCCATGAAGAAAAACCTGAAATACTGCAAGGGTCTACAAAATCGAAAAAAATGACCTTTATCGTAGAATTGACTTTTTCGAAGTTTTATTACAAGATGAAAAGTTAAAACCATTTTTTTCTGAATCAGCGTTGAAAACTGATTTAGAAAAGCTCTTCAGTTCATTTTCACGGTAAACACTCGTCCGCCATGTGTATCGAAACTGGCGGGTGTCAAATGGAGCATCATTCATTTTGTCAGTCTATCTAGTTGTTTTAATCAAGGTCTATATCTTTGGTTCATACACCATTAAGTCGGCCAAGAGACCAGCTTCAAAAGTACGGAAAGCTTTTTTTAAAATTCCTTTTCCTTGCTGAGAAAATTGACTTTTACTGGAAAATATCCAAAGCGGAAAGGTGTTATGAAATACATCACATGCCTCCAGCATCTCGCTATGCAGGTACACCTTATGAAAAGATCATCCGATATGATATGCCAGCGATACTCATGCATAAAGAAGATCATAGAGCGATTCTTTCGACAGGATCGAGCACAGAAAGTAAAGAGCATCGCAAACAAATTCATGAACCCATGAGAAATGGACATATGTTTGTGACTACGGAGGTAGAACGAAACTATACAAAAAAATACAGCTAAGAAAAGCAAAACATACTAATCAATATCTTGATTATGTGGCAACTAAATCAGCAATGAAACACCCCAGAAAACGAAGATAAAACCACTACTCTAATAACTGAGCAAAAAAAACAGGAACTAAAAGAATAAGTCAACTAAAGCCAACTAAAATTGCCTGATAGTCCTACCATGGTTGCATATACCATATTAGAAATGCCTTCGGCAACTAGAGCACCTCCTATATTAACAGCACCGAATGAGATTAAGACTGCGCCGGCAATGACTTGGGCAAGTCTTATCATTGCAACGGCAAATGCATTCCAATCCCACGAGGAATTGTCTTCTTTAATAATTAAAAACTTATTGAGAGCAAGTCCTTGAAAAAAATTTAATTCAGTTGGAACAATTTCTTGATCTGGAAGATCAATAAAGTCTGTAAGGGTTGCTTTTAAACCATCTTTATATGAACGAATATCTCCTTGTAAAAGTGATAGTTTCGATTGACTTAGTTTCTTGTCATTTTCATAACTAATATCTTCTAAAATTTCATCTAACTCCCAGGAAGAAATTTTGGACCTCCGCAGGTCCTTCTAATCTATTAAGAAGTTCTCATAAGTTAGATTCATGCGACACAATAAGGCATTCGAATGCATTAAAGTAAACAATTTCTCGCCGCTAATACGTGTGAACGCATTAAAAGGACAAAAATGGAACCTGTGTCGCAGGTCCGAAATAGTTGTCCGAAGCCTTACAATGCGTTAAATCTGAATTTTATACCAAAAATGTCTCCGAACGCCTTATTTTGTCTAAAAATTGCCAAAACTAAGCCTTCGGAAGGCTTAGAATGTGTCAAAAGAAGGTTTTCGCAGCCTGCGGATATTAGTTCGCATTAAAAAATCCGAAGGCGTTAAAATGAAGGTTTTTAATGCGTTTAAAGGAGTGCAATGTAATTACAAACGCCTTTACATACATTAAAAAAGTTGTCGAACACACACAGGCAGTGAATATCTGTCATGCCTTTGCACGCGTTCCACATCTTAATGCGTGTTAAGGCGTGCTGTAATTGTGAACGTCTTCGCATATATTAAAAAATGGAACGCACGTAAGCAATGAATTTTTTTACTACATCTGAAGGCATGCTAACTTTTTTATGGGTTCGAAATAATGCGGCGTAATGACAAAGGCCTTAGCATTCATTAAGAAAGCGGAACGCGTGCGAAAAGCGAATGTTTTTGATGCCTTTACATGTAATCCGTTACTTAATGAATGTTAATCGATGCAATATAATGATGAAGTGCTTTGCATTCATTAAGACAGCGGAACGCGTGCGATTAATTATTTTACATTAATTAAAACTTTTCGCATGCGTTACATTATTTTCCTTTATCCGTTCCCTAGTTGATGACACTGTGATTCTAGTGACTCACTTGAATCATGGTCTATAGCTTATAGACCTGCAACATCGGTTCTCTAAGTCTTCGAGGACTGTAAGAACAGGAACTTTGAACTAAACTTTCAAGTTAATTTTAGTAGGGAACAGTGCGCACGACATGTTGAATGTTTGCAAAAATTACGCTTTGGCATATTTTCCAAGACTTTCCAACTTTTTGGTTTACGAAAACTCTTCTT